TATCAGAAATGTTCACTAAAAAAAGATCAAAGGTATGGAAATTTTGATTTTCTCTCTGGACGTGACATCTGTAGTACTGTATTTTTGATAGGACTGTGTTTCATTCTTCTGACACTATTGGTATCAACTGCCTGTGATGACAGACAGGTTATGGAGGCAGTTAATTTTCAAAACTTAAATATAGAGAGATTCAGATTAAATTTTGCCAACTATGTAATCTGAATATTTGAATTCAATTATTTTTACATCCTTCTCTTCCTCCGAGCTTAAATCCCTAGTCATTTCTTGAAGATGACTGAAAGAACTTTACAATTTTTCTTTTGATTTTGACAGTCATATTCCTTGAGTTGTAGAAATGAACTTGAAAAAGTGAAGAGGCCAGGCCTTGTTCTCCTAGGCTTCTCGATGTGACAACTTGTCTATGTATGTTTCAGGATAAATCTGCTCCACAACAGATAGCAGAAATATGTGGTAGCCAGTGGGATGAAATGGTACACCGGTTCTTTATTATGAAAAATAACATTAAAAACATAATTTCTTCAACATTTTCCGGTGGCTAACAAAAGCTTAATTTCATTGCTTTACCTCTTCTGATTTTCTGCTGAATCTTCTAATTCCTCAGCTTCCATATGAAACACACTAGAAAATGAATCCTGAAAAAACAAGAGGATATTATAATTTATAGATGTGGATGTAATAACTTAGAGTAGTAGTAGAGTAATAACTAGAGTAGTATTCATGTGGAAAGCATTCATGTGCTATTATCAACATCTGCTCTGTAATAAATGTAGATATAAAACTGTTAAACTTCATTTCATATCAAGCAGCAACAGTATAGAATCCTATGACAAAAATACATAGTTTTTAATGTCACTGAAGTATCTTGAATCTCTACTGATCACTCTGAGAAGAAATGCCAGTATATAAGCTGTACCATCTATCTCTGGAAGTTCCAAATTTGAACATTCATCCAAGTGAATGCACCAAGAGTGCATAATATCTGCTTTGCTTGTGGAGATGAGGACATCAATGCCTTCTAAGCATTTCAACAAATCTGTATTGCTTTTCATGTAGTTTTTTTCCCTACAATTGAGAATCCTAATTGCAGGGAGAAATTATATTGTCCCTGCACTAAAGATTCAAACTAGAGACTGGAAAGTAAGTGCTGGAGTTTGGTTGACTTGCAGAGACAGTATGACTATGTGAATACATGCATTATGTAAATTCTTCTTCTGTACTGTTGTATTCAGGAGTGAATCTCTTAAACACACTGAGAGAGATTATTATTACAAAATAAAATCCTTCTCCTTTTCTGCAGCCTATGGGTTGCTCATACCTCCTCTTGGGAATAAGCTCTTCTGCCTTTAAATAAAAAAATCCTACTCACAGTGCAATCTTCGTCCACTATGAAAATGGTACACCTCTGCACCTGCATGAAGGATATTATAGTGGCAGCTATCTTCTTCAGAATGACTTCCAAAGACTGCTGTTCTTCAAAAATAAGGCTGGCAAGATCAAGAAGCACCTGGAAAACAGGTCTTTGTGAAAATTTGACTAGCTGTGATGAAAACAATAATTACAGTTACTACTCAGTATGATTCTTCCCCCTACTCCCTGAACCAAGGAAGTCAACACATACATCTGTGACAAAGATTAAGCTTTGGCTCTTACACAGACCGCAGGGCAGCAGTAATTAAAAGCCAGTTTGGCATGTTTGATGGAAGAAATTGATAGCATACTTAGCTGTCTGATGTTTTCAGTTGGAGAGACAGAGTAGATTTGGGCATTAACAGTTGATCAAATGAAATTTGAGAAGTCCAGACCACAAACTCTAATTTGCCCTTAGGAAACCTAATAAATTCCTATGGCTCATGTGTGCATTATAAGAACGTCAACAGTGATATTTAAATTACTTTAGACTTTCAAACACAATTATTCGTGGTAATTCAAACAAATCCTAATGAACTCATTTGGTAAAAACATCATTTAGACACAGGCTGTCATATTTCAAAGCTGTTGCTGAAGGACTTCTGCTCAGATGTCGGCAAATTATACTCCCTTTATCCCCGCAGGAAGCATGGAACCAATTTGAAAAGATTATCCAAATTTGTACCAATTTACAAACACTGATATTCACTTGGAAACCCAGACCTACCAGAAAGTTATTAAAAGACCTGCTGCCTAGTTGTTTCTCCAAAACCTTTTCATACCATATTGGGTAGACATACTCCACCCGTAGAGACCATGGCATTAATAAACCATCAATTACATAGATGGCTACAGAGTAAAAAGAAAATTCTATTTCCTGTCTGATCATCATGGAAAATATTGTTAGTGACTATTTATAGTTGTAGGAGTCTAAAAGAGCAATCCGTATAATCTCTACAATTTTATATGGATAATTTTACCTGAAATTTCTGGAGTATGGAAGCATCTGGTTGTGTAATATACACAGTGAGCCACAGGATAACTTCAGGCAACATTTCGTATATTTACATAGTATTATGCATAGTATTCAATTAGAGAAATTAAAAATTGCCAAGGAACGGCTGCCACATGAGAAGGAAACAGCAGAATGCACTGATTTCTAGCTAACTGTAATTTTTATATTTTTGGGACAAACCTGTTGATCATACCTGATTACGCCTGTTTTCAAGCAAAGATGTTTCATACAACTGAGCATTGTGAAGAACAATTCCACAAAATGCCAAATATGCAGCAAAATCCTGTAGAGAAATAAACATAAGCTTCTGATGAAGATAGTGTCTCTCAGCTTCTTAGCTTTATTCAAAGTTCAACTGTTACATTTTTTCATCTTGAAGTATTAATTGATATTTAAAGATATTTCTGGCAATTCAGGTTTTTTTCAGCCACTCATACTTTTTTTTCCTCAAGAATCTCTTCTCCCTTTTTTAAAAGAATAGTCTTGCAAGTTTATCCTGGTGAAAGTAGGATCAGAATAAGAATCAAGTTGTTTTGCAATAACACAGATATTACCTAGAAAAACAGTACAGACAATCAGCATCTGTTATTATGGGGAATTCAGTCTCTTCTGAAGTGGAACAATATTCTGTTAACATAGCAAAACCACAGATTTTTTTTCAGTTTCTGAATGTGATTAATTCTGCTATCTTGCAGATACTCTGTATACATTTTGCTTTAAATGGGAAAGTTTTCAAAAGGAAACAGTAAATTCTGATTTTTTTATTGACAGATATTGAATCATCTTCTTCAGCTTTTTTTGCTATACAAATTTAAAGTGAGTTCCAGAAATGTCTGGAAAACAACTACTGTGTGAGAACTGGGAGTCAAGCTGCCATCTCCTCTTCTGACGATTCTCATATATTTATAATTTATCCAAGGCTTTTCTCTTCCTGCAATTGCTGTTTTGGGAAGTGATGCAGTATTTAAAAAGTAATCACTAGACAAATTTTAATACCCAAAATACATATTGTTGGGAATGCCAGGAAAGTTAATATCAGTTCATAAAAGATTATGTCTGTTATAAGCTGTGAAGCTGTCCTACAGTGTATTTCAGTAGAGTAAGCCTGTGTTTCAGAGGCATATGAGAGGTATCTTTCTGATCAAGAAATTAAACTACATCCCATCTACTTTTCTCATGGCTTTACAAGCGAAAAAACTCTGCAATATAACAAGGAATTTTCTTGTTAGAGGTGTTTCATTTTTCATAACTTCAAAATGTCTGATCAGTGTCAAAAGCAGTAACATTTTCAACCCCTGCTCTCCTATGAAAACAGAGACACAAAAGTCCAGCTTCTGTACCTTTTCATCTTGTTCCGTGAAAGTCCCACCCGTTCCAGATTTCTTATTAATTGCTTGAGCCACGCCAACAACCTAGTGTATTAAAAATGAAATAATTAGATCATTTTTGAGAAGTCTGTCGTTGGACTGTGGTATTCCTAGACATACATGAAAATAAATGATTACTACATGTACTCCTTTGGTTGACTTTTGCATTTAAACCTGTTTATTTCTAATTTATTTGTATTACAAATTTTTGAGCATGAGCCTGACTTATCAGAAAGAAAAACAGTGGCAAAATTCCTGGATGCTCTTATAAAGAATGTTTGGTTTGATCCAAGACTTGTTCCATAAAGTGAAGCAATCATCTCACACAAGGGCAGCAGTGGTTTATACTTCTGAAACTGTCATCTACTTTTCTGTGTAGAACCTACCCTTCCTGCTAGCTCTGATGAAGTTTCCAAAACCTTCCCCTTCTTACTGTAGGCTTCTTACAAGATCTCTCTACTGTGACCTTTTTGCTTTCTGTTTATTTCTGGAACTGTTCAGTTAGAATTGAAAAACAGTATGCACATGTTGGGTACCTGCCAGAATCAAGTTTGTTACTGTAAGTATTTACTTAAAGATAGGTTTTGAAAAAAGCTGCTTTGAGATTGAAGTCATACAAGACCATTTCAAGTTGTTAATGACAGTAGTTTTTTCATCTTACTTTTTTAGGATAAACAATATCAGGAGAAAACTATGTTGTGTGTGTTTAAGAAGCTGTATTTATGTGTTACTCATGACATTTGTAACTGCTAAACTGAAGGAGGTCATACAGTTATATTTCTGTAATGGAAAAGACAACAGTTTACTGTCTCTCACAGCAGCATTCCCAAAATACTGATGCTACAAGTAAGGTCATTGTTCTGCAGCATGAGTCACTGCCAACTGTGGGCTCAAAAATGTCTGTCTGAAATAAAGCTCAGCTGTCATGTCCATTCCATACAATGCAAGACTTCCCACAGTCAACTTCTCATTTACTTCAGTGATGATTTCTTATCTAGAGAGCATTCTCACTGTAATAACAATATACTTGCCGTATTTATTTCTACAGCCAGCTTTGAATTGTAAGCAAATCCTTTAATAAATCTATATGCTTTTACATTTACTTGCATGTGGAAAGACTAATGCTTAAGCCTTTTCTCCAACTGCTATCTTTTCTGGGTTTCTCATTTTTTTCTTTTTCTTTTTTCCAGCTTTGATCCAGCATGAAGGAAGACAATTTTAATGAGTTAAGAGGCTCTTAAAGGTGAGTAATTTTGTCTTGTGTAAACATCTCCCTCACAATGAAAGGAAAGCTGGGCGTGCTTAAAACTAAAAGGAAACAGTAACAGGACCATATTAGTACCACAGAAAGACTACTTAGCCTCCCTTCATTAGCCTGCAGGTTTCTCATAAATTAAAAAAAGCATGTGTTCCAGTGGAAATGGTCATTTTGTGTCTTTGTTAAGTCCATCCAATAAAAGCTTTTAATAGAAGGGGGAAAGAACACTGAGGAGAGTAAACCTATTAAAAGTTCATACTTGTCTTGATAATAACAATTTCATGCAAAAGACAAACTGTATAAAGTACTTTTTTTTTAGTAAAAAATATTGACAAAAAAGAGTACATTTTCCAGTAACATTCTAAACTTTTAAAGAGAACTTGTTTTATGAGCAATTTTTGCATACAAAATGACACATTATAAAATTAAACTGACTCAAATTCTGGCCTGAATTGTATTTATACCAGTACAAATTTAAGTGGACTTCACTGAGATGTGTATTATTCAGGTTAGTTATTCAGAAAAATTTCTTCTTAGAAAAAGCGGTGAGGCATTGGAACAAGCTGCCCAGGGAGGTGGTGGAATCATGGTCCCTGGCGGTGTTCAAGAAATGTGTAGGTGTTGCACTGAGTGATGTGATATAGTGCTGTGGAGGTGATGGGTTGATAGCTGGACTACATGATCACAGTGGTCTTTCCAATCTTAATGATACCATGATTGGGGTATGAGATAGGGTAATGAGGAGAAGACGTAAAAAACCCAGGGAGATTTGTTCCTTTTACTGAAATGATTACGTAATTAGGACAAAAGTAATAGTATTTTAGGCTGTGTCAAACATAGGCCTGCATTTTAAAGAATTCTAAGCACAGTATGAAAACCAAATCTTCATTTTTCAAACTTAATATAAATAAATCTGAAACAACATAGGTCTGGTCTCTCCAGATGGGTGTTATGTTGAATATATGTTGAAAAAAAGGTTGACAGTAGCTACTATGAGCTAAGCTGTACAGAAATGTTACTCAGATAAAAGTGTGATATATTTGTGGCAATAAACAAGACATATCTGTATATATGAGATAAAGATAATTCTCTGGAAAGCCTGAAGAACACTGTAAAAAAAGTGACAGCCCACTTGAACATTCACTGATGTATGTACTGTTCCAGTCTAACAAAAATATGTTTTTTTTTTAAATCACCTGTTTCATCTTTCTTCCTTAACAAGCAAACACTAAATGAACCTTCTTAAAAGCTGCAGCACTAAATCAAAGATAGTTACTTTTTATCACTGTCTCACTATGCCTACAGAATTATCCTGCATATCTGTTGTTCAACCAAGGAAAAGCTAGTAGGAAACAGAGGCTTAAACAGCCATGAAAGGGGATGACTACTAGAAAATAATTAGGAAGTGCTGTGGAAAAAAGAAAGCCAAGAATAAGGGAGAGTAAACATTAAAGTAATTACTATTTGCTTGTACTCAGATATCTGTAATCTTGTGCCCTAATCCCTAAAGTAACTAGTGATCTGTTGAGTGCTAAAAATGCTTTTTCATGAGCTTTTAGGTAGGGTGTTACACCATAGCAGTCATGGAGCTCCTAGCAAGACCCTCTATCCAGGTTTGCTGTATTTGAAGCGCAAAAGGGGTGGGCAGAAAATAATAATCTGTACACAAAGGAGCTTACTCCTTTGTCCAGCCTTCTTTCAATAGATCAATAAATCAATAGAAAAAAAAGTCCTCTTGGATCAGATACCAAATACTTTGCAATTCGATATTCAGATGCCATAAGGCAAACATACATTGCGAACACAAAAGCAATTTTGATGATGGAATAGTTCTCTTATTGTCAGTCTCAGAAAAGGAAATAAAAAACAAACACCTAACAGTTACTGGGTTGATAACCATACCTGTTTTTCCAGATCAGAACACAGCTCTCCTAATTGTATTCTTGCTGGCAACACGAGCAATCTTCCAGTGCTGCCGCTTGTTCTGTAACCTTTCTTCTTTAGCTGTAACACTTAACCCATTCAATAAAATGTGATCCACGTTACAAGGAGAGATTTCTTTTAATTATCAGAGGGCACTACTTTTACTAACTATTCTCTTCCAGTAGTTGTCTCCTGCCTCTAGAAGTAGCAGGCTACCTGGAATGTTTCTTATCCGATGATAACTAATGACTTCAGTCCTGGTAACTGATCTGAATTTTATCTGAATGTGCTGCAGTTCTCTGTACATTAAGACTGCAGGTCTAATTCTGTGAAAGCTTTTCCAGCTCTACAGGGATTCAGTGCCCTTTTTAGTTTGTTCTTACTTCAGCTGATTTTAAAAAGACTGTTTTGCATCCTCAGAATAAAAAATGTATGTATTTTTTTCCTGGCACCTTAAAAAAAGTGGGCAAAGCCAAAAAATGGTAACAGGAAGAGGAAAACTCAACTTTTATCTCTTTGTAAAGGTGGGACATATTCACATGAGAGGACAAATTAAGTGGTTTTAAGCTTTCTTAGCTCTCCTGCTCTTGCAGAACTTTGATCAGGCTTACAAAATTATCCTGTAGGGACAGACTTGTGTTTACAGGCTTTCATTTTTAATCAACAAACTTTCACATCCTCTATCATTCTTGCCAGCAGAAGCCTGCATGACTCCTAGCAGTCTAGCTGCTACAAAATATCTCAGCATAAGATGAAAATCCATCCAAGAAGCAAATGACCATTTTCCATAATCCTGCAGCAAGACTGCTGCTAGAAACCAGAGTCAGTTTGTTTCAAGTGAAGTTGGGTATTTCTACACTGCACCACGTTAACATGGTTATATTTAATAAAGTTTGTCAGGATACTTAAAAAGGCTGGTGTAAACAGAATATGCCCCTGATGTATTTGGAAAAGCTTCATGGTGACAGGAGATAGAGAAAATTAAGACAACACCAACAACTGAACATTGAACTGTGTATTCCCAGAAAAAAAAGAGTTGCCTTGCCAATTAGTAGGAAGTTCAGCCTCATGTACTTGAGGCCTAGAGTCTGAATGACAAGTCTCACTCAATACAACTGAAAGTCCCCAAATGAGAAAATGCTACAGATTTTAATAGAAATTAAATCAAAATAGGATATTATGGAAATTTCTTTGCATAACTGAAAGAAAAATAATGTAGAAATAGCAGAACCTGATGTCATTTCTGTACACATTCCACACCAGTTGTGATGACTCTCCCAGTCAAGAAACATCCATACTACAGATATCCCAAACCAGAGAGCTGTACTGACCCTTGTATCAGTTCTGGATAACTCTACAAATTGGTTTAACCTAATGACTCCCATTCAAGGCCTTTCTACCTCATTCACATTCCTCATTCAGGTTGGATATTAGAGAGAATTTCTTCTCAAAAAGAGTGGTAATGCATTGGAACAGGCTGCCCAGGGAAGTAAGTGGTGGAGTCAATGTCCCTGGAAGTGTTTAAGGAAAGGGTGGATGTAGCACTTAGCCACATAGTTCAGTGGGCAACATCAGCGATAAGTGCGCAGTTGGAAGGGATGATCTTAGAAGTCTTTTCCAACTTATGGTTCTATGGCTTTTCAGAGGTAAAAAAAAATAGCAAATGATATAGCCTTGTCTGTCCCCAAGCATCATGTGGCAATTCTTTTGGCATATGATGAGATGGACAGGATTTCCATTTAATTATTAGACAGTCATTCCACAGTACTGATTTACGGGTATCAGGACTTTGATCAAAGCCCCTGAAGCTGAAACAAAGCTTGGTCATTTTGTATTTGCAGTGTTTTATGAGCAAATGAGAACTCTTTACAAACTAGCACTACACAAGCATCTGTGATCTGATCACAGGATGTAATATAATGTTTTTGTGGCATTTCTGTCAGCAAGAGTAGATTGAGCAGGGGAATGAAAAACATTAAATGTTCTACTATCACATCCATGTATTTCCATTCTTCAGTGTGTCTGTGCAGACAGACTTATACTTTACTACTTTTCTCTTGGCAAGATTAATACTAGTTGCTGGGTCCCTTTTGTGAGCACTACTGTGAGTCAAACTGTTTTCTTCTTTTCATCTATGGAATTTCTTGTTAGTAGTTATTTTTAAGTAAGACGTTGGTTTCTCACAGGCCTCATGGAAATAAAGGAAATGTGAAAAACATCTACTGGAAAAATCTTCATACTTCAGCAGGCCCAGAGCATTTTATAATCAACATGAGATTTTCGTCCTGAATTAACGACTCCTTTGTTTTAAAAAAGAATACCAATACTAAACAAACAAACAAAAAAGATACATTTGCTTCTCATTCTCAGTGTTTATTTTTGGAAGTCTTCCAGAATTATCTTTTGACTGTGGCTGCTGATGTGGGCTAAGGAAGCATTCACTAGCTTCAGTATTTCTAGAGGGGCCTTGGTAATTTATTTACTTATTTAGTTTATTTTTACAGGGAGGAGACAGTATTCTTTTTTTTTCTTCTTTTTTCTTCAAAAAGTGGATGGCAAGTTGAAGACTGTTTCACTGACTCCAACATCTGTCCAGAAGGATATCAGCAAACTGTTACAGTGAGAGGGACAAAAACCTTCTGGTAGAGATTTTAAAATCAGAAGGGAAAGAAAAAGTGTTATCCTTTCCTAGCAGAAATCTCCTGGCTTAGCTCCTTCAAATTATTGCATATAAGAGTCAGTGTAACTCTCCCCACAAAATTCATGTTGGCTGAAGCTTTCAAAATAAATACCTATCTGCTTCATTTCCATTTGCTGATGCACTTAAGAGGAGAAACCTAACAGAAGATACGGCCAATTGCAGGTTTACTCAGCCTGTAAGTCATGGCATATTTCACCAACAAACACAAGTCCTATTCTGTCCTCCATTCACCATGAGGACTCAATAAGAAGTTAGCACTTTCATGCTCTCTGGCTTGCAAGGCCTTGTAATTAATTTCTGATTGCAATTACAGGAGAACACAGACTTTTTTCCATTTGAGAACAAAGAAAATGGGATGGCGTGGGTGAAATTTAAAACCTTACATCAGTTTGACATGGAGCACTGCTCTCTGTATGCCCTCCACACAACATCTGATTTGCTTGTCAGCTGGCTTAGGGCCAGCAGTGGCTGCTGCAGACTGGAACAGGGGAGGCTTTTCAGTGGGCATGAGAGCAGGAGAGCAAGACTACAAGTGTTGTCCATGAGGCACTATCAACTCAAGCCAGTTTCAAGCTTTCTCCTTGAAAGTACTGAAATAATATTTTAAACCAAAGTTTATGGTAGGTAAAGAAAGGAAATTCTGGTTGATCGTCTGGGTTAGCTAGAGTACGGTTCAACAGATCAGCTAAATTCAAGAGCTTAATCAGTTTATTTAATAATGTGACAGTCAGGGTGACATACTTCGTAAGAGGATTTGAAAAAATGGAAGAGCAAGGAAAAAGGTGGTTTAGTATCTTCAAAATAATCTTTGCAGAATTTGTTCTTGGAGTTTGAGGACTTTCAACTATCTGGAAACGATACATAGTCTGCAAAAACAAAGGAAATATGGGAGAGAAAATCTCCATCTTAAATCCCGGGTGCACTCTGTGAAGAGCCTTACGCTATGCAAGCATTCTAAGAACCGGTGATGTGGCTGAAGGCTATTACTTTCAGGATCAAATACCAAACAAAACAAAAAACAAACAGCAAAGAAATACAAACTATCTCCCCAGGTAAGAACATGGATCTTGCCTTTTTTTTCAATTCCAGTTTTATGCTTTCTTTATCTTTACTGAATTCATTCTTGAATATCTCAGCATAAGAAGACATTACAAGAATTTCATAATAAGAATTCTCCCTACTGCGAGAGCATCATATTCAAAGGGAGAACTTCTGTGATAATTAGCATCGATGGAAAATGCATGCAAGAGATCAACAAACAGAGACATTTTATTTTATAGTGATTTCACTTTAAGTTAGATGAACATTGTGTTTAACCCAATAGGCAGCTAAACACCATGCAGACATTTGCTCACTCCCCCCACAGTAGAGAGAATTGGAGAAAAACTAAAACTCATGGGTTGAGATAACAACAGCTTAATAGGATGGAAAAGGAAGGGAAACTATATATATAAATATAGAAAAATATAAGAAAATATATAAAGCCAGTGATGCACAGTGTAATTGCTCCCCACCCGCTGACCAATGCCCAGCCAGTCCCTGAGCAGCAGCAACTCCTGCTGGCCAACTCCCCCAAGTTTAACTGTCCAGCATGACGCCGCATGGTACGAGGCATCCTTTTGGCTGGTTTGGGTCACCTGCCCTGGTTCTTTTACCTCCCAGCTCCTTGTGCCCCAAAATCTTTTCTGGCAGCGCTGTGCAAGAAGCTGAAAAGACCTTGACTTAGTGTAAGCACTGCTCTGCCACAACTAAAATATCAGTGTGTTATCAACATTACTGTCATCCTAAATCCAAAACATAGACCCATACCAGCTACTAGGAAGAAAATTATCTCCCCCAAAGCAGGACAATAACTTAACAGAGATTTTTCTGAATTACATAAACACCACATGTTTTCAGCGCCTGGTCTTAAGCACTATGGTTCTAAATTTATTGTTAATGACCAGAGTTAACAGAATCTAAAAAATGTTTTAGACAATGATAAAAACAATTAGTGTCCTGTGATGAACATAATCTAGATACAATCCAAGTTGAAGCGCACTAACTCTTAACTGCAATCTGAGAGTGTGCTGATAAAGACCAATAAATATGCAGAGAATTTCAATGCTGACAGGAACAATCAATGGCACATCTAGAATTAAATATGTATATTCTACTTCTGCCTCTTGACAATTCCATTTGTCTTATATTACTGAGCTAGATAAGTAAAAATGGAAATCCAGGCAATCATAAGCACAAAGTCTTTTTTAAAAAGAGATAGTTTTATGCTGTAAGATAATGATTGACAGTTAAGAAAAGTTTAAAGAATTGGCATAGCAAGAAACTGTATTACAGAAAGTGATCCCAATTCTGCAACTTACCTCTTCCCTATGATTCTTTATTGGCATACAGAGAATACTCTGAGTCTTGTACCCTGTGATCTGGTCAACTTCTGCATTGAATCTTGGATCCTGATACAAGAGAAAAATATGATTATTTGAATACATGCCTTTTTAAAAGGTTGAAAAAGTTTGACATCTGAATTAACTGTTACATAGGATAGCAAAGGTTCCATTACTACTTAATAATCAAAGTTGTTATTAACTGTGTGTTCAAAGGGAAAAAAAAAGTGCATCATGAGTGCCAGTGGATAAATAGTAGCCAGACAGAGGAAAAACAAACAAACAAACAAAAAAAACCTGTCAGAAGAAGCCTTTCTTCAGTCTAGACCATCATTATAATTAATTTATGCATGTATCTCCAATGAAGCTTTTATCATCAAGCAGAAATTTCAGAAACATTCAGAAAGACGTGGCCACGGGAAAACAAAGTTTCATGAAGATGGCTGGTCTTTTTGTCTTACTCTGTTGCATCTTTTTTTTTTTTTCAGCTGAATGTTGTTATAAAGCCTTGATTTTTTTAAACCTCACTATCCATTTCTAAAGGGTGCTGTCTTTTCTCTGGCAATTTATTTCAAATTGAGCACAGTGACCCAAGTCAAGGAGAAACTTTTAAAATACAAGGATAAGTTAAGTCCCACTGTAATAATGTAATTAGCAAACGTTTTTTGAGTTCCTTGAAAATTAAAACAACACATGCAATCATTCTGCACTCCTTGTAGCTTCTGAAAAATACTACTTGGTAATGGTGCCCAATTCTATAACCATGCTCAGAGTAACCAAGACACGATTGATCGGAAGTGCACTGTGCATTTTTATCTCTGTATATTTGACTCAATCAATTAATTTAATACATTTCCATCACCCCTAAATTCAAAGCACAAAGTAAACATATCCAGAGATTCTGGAAATAAGTGATGTTCAGATGAGGTGTAAGAGAAGTCTTGTCCCACTGCTGGATTCCCTTCCTTTTCTTCATCTAGCCTTGTATTAAATTAGACAAATTATAGTCTTATTTTATTTGGAAGACTGCTATGCAGTTCAAACCCTCATCCTGGTCTTATTTCTTCCGCTCTTGCTCTTTATGCCTCAGATACAATCAAATCCTCAGAACTGTTTTCTGTTGTAAGACTGTAGTTTTGCAGACAATTACACTAATAATTTCATTCCTTTTGGTACAGAAACCTAAACATTTTCTTGTTCAAAGCTAGAAGTGCAAACAGTAATGTGCACATAAATGGTTAAGTCTGAAAATCAGACTGCTAATGACAAAGTTAAATAATTTATTTGGAAGTTATCATTCCAGTTGCATTAGTCATAGCTCCAAGTTTCTGTGTCTGTGTGTAATACATGTATTATAATTGGAAGTTTACTGTCTGCTTTCTATCTTTACTGGGGTATGTCAGTGTAGTCCAAATACATATACTAAAATGACAATATTACATCAGCTGGTAATATGGCTGCTTCTAGTTTCACAATAGTTCATGACAGGTCTTCTTGGTTTACCTCATATGCATTCTTGATGTTCAAAGGCTGGCCTGTAGCAGCTACGTGGCCCACGATGCCCTTGTTCCACTCCAGGCGAATGCAGTTATTTGAAGCTTCTTCCAGGGTGGAACCTTCAGCCACATCAAACAGCCTGCTTACAAGAAACTTCTCGTTAGAGCTATCCTCACAGACCAAGAACAAGGAATAGCGATCAGCAGCTATAAGCTCATGGATATGTAGGAAAATTTTATGGCAAAGTGCTGTGACATCCAAATGACTAGAAATGTCTTTCACAAGTTCTAAAAGCCTTGAGCACCGATCCCCTGCATTGGTCCCAGTCCTTGGAGATTGCAGAGGCATCTGTTCCTTCTTTTCAGAGCCAGAGAGGAAGCTTACTGCTCCTACCGAGTCCTTGACAAAAATCGGCCTCAAGGGTCTGTCAAATTCTGAAGCAGAGATTTTCCTTGCTGGTGTTCCAGAGTTGGTGGTCTCAGGGCAGGCAGGCTGGTGACAAGCACAGGATTCACTCTGAGACTTGGTCCCCTCCTTGCAGACAGGGATGGTATGAACTCTCTCAGCAAACCATGCATTAACCATTTCTCTGTAAAACAACAATAAAATATAGTAAACAGTGAAAGTTAAAAATCTTCAGGAACTAATATATTTGAAGAAGACACTGCAAAGAGGATAACTTTGAACGTTTTCATACAGCGAACATGAGTGCACCTTTAGAGCTCCTCTCTATCAATATTCTTCTATTTTAAGCAGTGCTTAGCCTATGTTAAGTCATACTGTTTTATCCTCCATAACAAGAAAACTCTTTCTCCTGGAAGGAAATACCTGAAAAGGCAGAGGAAGACTGCTTATTAAGTGGCTTTCAGAATATAGAAGATCAAAAGTTTACACTAATTTTGTGCTTGAAATTTATAATTTCAATTATTTATAAATGAAACTGAAAAATTTATACATTGATTTATAAAATGTATAAATGAAGACGAAACTTCTTGTTTTAATTCTACCTTTCTATCTTGATTTATCTGTATATCATCAATAACATAGTATACTTTTTCTTATCAGTGTAGTATGTACTCTAATATATTTCTTGTCCAAAATTTATTGGTTCCTTTTAATATGGGGCTTTTTATTTAATTCTCTCTGTAACAAGGCTTTCTCACAGCTCATGATCTGCTCACAGTAGAAGTAATTTTTTTCTGAATTACATAATGTTTGGTCTTATGAACAGCAAATATCTTATTAAAAAGTCTGATCTCCTGGAAATCTTTCATGGTGGTCATGTTTTAAATTTGGGATATTTTTTATTTGCTCAGCAGACCACAAGAATTTCAAGAGTGAAGCTGAATGAAACCATGGAAATTAATCAGGTTAGTCAGCTGCTGATAGGTTACAGGCATCAGCATGTGTTAAATATGTGGAGCATAGCACATGACCTTTCTTTTATTAATCTATGTTGTAGAATGCAACACCATAAGTTAGTTGCTAATTGCTAATTCAGATAAATGTAGCTGATTAAAACCTAAAATCCACCAGTCCTATATCTATTAGCAAGGAATCCACAATAGAAAACTTATCTGTCTTAACACTGAGTAGGTTTGAAAGAATTTCTCAGATTTTACAATTGTATACAACTCATAGGCCTCAGCTGCAGGCAAACATGCTATGAAAAAATAAAATGGCTTTGGAAATTGTGTGACATAGGAGCATGGGAGACAAAACTCTTTCCTGTACAAACTGTAGCTGAGTGGGAGAAGTCTAGTTGTCCTGACTCAAAATGTAAAAGCAGGCAGTGCCTTCCTTCTTACTTCAGCAGCAGGAATGAACCTCATTTTTTCCAGTTTGCTGTTTTCCAATGATCTCTTAGAAGAGATAAATTGGCAACATTCTTCACTTTCAGTCTCTGACGTATGTTCACGTATCAAATGACTTAACTGTCAGTACATGGAGTAATGATAATTAAAAATCAGGAATCAGTGCTCTAGTTTAGAAGGCAAGTGAAAAGTGAAATGTAGCCTATGACTAAGTCAAGCCCACACAGGGACAGTGGACTTTCTGGGCAAATTCAGTTAGGTCAAAATGACTGCATGCAAGCTGGTATAGAATCAGAGAATCAGAGAATGGCCTGGGTTGAAAAGGACCACAATGATCACCTAGTTTCAACCCCCTGCTACGTGCAGGGTCTCCGACCAGCAGACCAGGCTGCCCAGAGCCACATCCAGCCTGGCCTTGAATGCCTCCAGGGATGGGGCATCCGCAACCT